TAGTGGAACAACCTGCCTCCAGAAGTGGTGAATGCTCCAACACTGGAAGTTTTTAAGAAGAAACTGGACAGCCATTTGTCCGAAATGGTATAGGGTTTCCTGCCTGAGCAGGGGGTTGGACTAGATGACCTCCAAGGTCCCTTCCAACTTTATCATTATTATTATTATTAATTTGTAGTTCAGTATTGACATGAGCTCTCTGGCTTGGTGCTCTCAGAGAGCTTGGTGCTCTTTGAGTTTACTTCTTTTCTTGCAGAGGTTTCATTACCTATACTAAGTAACATCATCAGTGCTAGTAAAGAGTGCAGTTTGCTGACAGTTTATATTCTAGTAGCTTTATATTCTATTCTGTCACTGTTGGTGGGGATGGTGTTAGAGATTCTTTGGTTGGGCTGGTTGCTGCTGGCTTCTTTGGCAGTTTCTTGATTGGGGTATTGTTTATTTGATTGCTGGTCTGATGTTAACCTTGGAGTTAATCTGTGCTGATCTGGGTGCTGTTTGCTGGTGGAGAGGTGCTTGGGTCTTGTTGTTGCAGTCCTTACATTGTGTGTTGTAGACGACTCCTGTTTTTTCTTCTGGGATTGTTGGGTCTTTTGTTCTGCTTAGGATCTTTTGGAAGGCTTTAGTTAGCTTGTGTATTATGCTGATTCCATGTGATTGTAATAGTCCATTAGTAGTTTCTGAGATATTCTTGATGTATGGCAGTGTAATTCTTTTTAGGGTTTCTCTTGGTTGCTCTGTATTGGGTTGAGTGGTCACGGACTTTTTGATAAAGTTCCGGGGATATCCATTTTGTTGGAATATGTTGTATAGATGATCCATTTCATTTTTCTGCTGTTCCGGGTTGCTGCAGTGTGTTTGGGCTCGTCTAAATAAGGTCCTTATGTAGATTCTTTTGTGGGAGGTTGGCTTGTTGCTTTAGTAGTGGAGCACCTGGTTCGTATAAGTGGTTTTTCTGTAGACTTGTGTTTCTAGTTTGCCATTGTGGTCTCTGCTGATCAGGATGTCCAGTAAGGGTAATGCTGTTTCTTCTTCTCTAGTAAACTGGATTCCTTTAAAAATGTTATTGATGATTCTATGGGTATTCTCTAATTGGTCCTTTTTTATTATGGTGAAGGTGTCATCTACATATCTGATCCATATTTTTGGTTGTATTTGTGGAAGTGCTATGGCTTCTAGACATTGCATGATGACCTCTGCTATAAGTCCTGAAAGTGGTGATCCCATAGGTATCCCTTTAATTTATTGGTAAATATTTCCATCAAATTGGAAGTATGCAGTTAAGCAAAGGTTTATGATATCCATAATCCATAATCCATGACCAAAAACTCAACAACCCCAGAAGAAAAAAACCAGAGTCATCTACAACAGACAGTATAAGGATGCAACAACCACTATGTAGGACAAACAGGCAGAAGACTGACAGAATGCATCCACGAACATC